TAGGGAAAGTATCTTACCATGCCATAGCCACATTCGGTCCCATCAGCGAGTGGCATGTGCTGCGTACGACATCCTTTATGGTCGCCCTCTGCACTGGTGCACCAGAGACGCTTGCACTGTTTCTGCAATCGACGAAAGTCATTTCAGTCAAAACTGGGGAAATAATGACTTGAACACTGGTAAATTTAACCCTACTCAAGTACTTGAGAGTTTTCTTGATATGGGTACAATCTAAAATACAGTTAATGGGATAGTTCACCCAAAAATGAAAATCACCCTATGATTTACTCACCCTCAAGCCAGGTGTACATGACTTTCTTTCAGACGAATACAATCGGAGTTATATATAAAAAAAAAAAATGTCCAGGCTCTTCCAAGCTTTATAATGGCAGTGAATGGTTGTTGAGATTTTGAAGACCAATAAACTGAATCCATCCATCATAAAAAGTGCTCCAAACAGCTCCGGGGGTTATTAAATGCCTTCTGCAGAGAATCGATGAGTTTGTGTAAGAATAATATTGCCTACGCCCAACATCATTCGCTGGAATGCTACTCTCTCATGAACGCGCATACGAAAGATAGTAAAGCAAGAGATTACAGTATATAAAGTTTGACCCCCAAGGCCTTAACCCCCCAGAGCCGTGTGGAGCAATTTTTATGATGGATTTATGCACTTTTTTGGGCTTCAAAATCTCAACAGCCATTCACTGCCATTATAAAGCTTGGTAGAGCCAGAATATTTTTTAATATATTTAATTTAATATATAACTCCGATTGTATTCGTCTGAAAGAAGAAAGTCATATACACCTTGGATGGCTTGAGGGTGAGTAAATCATGGGGTAATTTTCATTTTTAAACGAACTATCCCTTTAAGTTGCTTGTATGGACAATGGATTAAGATGGTTAGCTAAACAAGTCTTGAGACTGCAAGAACTCAGAGACCAGAAGAAGAGATGAACAATGGGAGAACTGAACAGGAGGTTAAAGAAACAGTTGGGTTCCCTAAAGCGATCTGGTATTCCCTTGTTAAATGACTAAACGGCCTCCCAAAACGATGATGGACCAATGTACAAAGGAACCTTGTTTTAGGATCTCTTGATAACAGGGATGAGTCGTTAAAGGGGACATTGGATGACCGTTTTAAACAAGTTGGTATGATTCTTTAGGGCCTTCATGAAATGTCTGCAATGTACTTTGGTTAAAATTCCTCAATGGTCGTGTAAAACAAAACCCTTTTACCGTTAGCCCTTTTTCATTGGTTCCATGACCTGGATGGGAGTGAGGCTTAGGGGGGTGAGTGTAACGGAGGCCAGCGAGTAGGTGCTTTGCAGGTAAACCTCACTCCCCTGATAACCCCTGTAACCCCTCTCTCCCGGGTCCTCAAGTTAGTGCGTCCACCTCCCATGCCGAAGACCCGGGTTCGAGACCCACTCGGAACAAGAACGAGGTGTGGCGGTGAGGACCCGGGAGAGAGGGGTTACACTAACACATATTATATGCAAATGCACCTGATGTCCCCTTTAAATGGGTCATGAACTGAGAAACCAAAATTCACTTGATCTTTTGAAATATAAGACGTCATTGTACTATAAAAACATCCTGTAAGTTTCAGAACTCAAAACTTTGTCTTTAGTCTAAAAACAGCTTATATTGAAGGCAGTCTGCCAAAACCACAGCTTGCGGAGGCGGTGCTTATCCACACTATTACATCATATGATGTAATAGTGTGGATAAGCACCGCCTCCGCAAGCTGTGGTTTTGGCAGACTGCCTTCAATATAAGCTGTTTTTAGACTAAAGACAAAGTTTTGAGTTCTGAAACTTACAGGATGCTTTATAGTACAATGACCTCTTATATGTTAATCACTAAATATCACTAAGAAAAGTAGGAGAAGCCACTGAATATAATCAATTTCATATATAATAAATTACTTGCGCCTCAGAGTGAGCATACAAAGCACAATAAATGCAGTCATTGCTTTTGGAGGTGGATGCCTGCTGTTTGGGAACGCAGTCGTGTAAGACTATTATACAGAAATACTTTGATGACAGACTTTGCTCGGGCATTTCAGAATAACCATACATCCCATGACGCAAATCACATGACTTTTTTGATGTGCTTGGAGGAATTTATTCGCCAAATGCATTTCCATCTCCCATTATTCACATTAACCCTTTTTCACACAAGACAAAAACCGCCTCAAGCGAGCGTAAAAACTTTTTTGTGAATTAAGGGATATTTTTTTCAAAATTTGGTGTTTCCATCACTCGTTTCTCATGCGATACTTCAAAATGCGTATTAAAAGAGGGTGACGGAAACATAGCCAATGCGTGGTGGAAGTAGATTTAGATGTCGTACCATAAACGGACAGACTTGGGAGCCGGGGCCGAACATGAGTTCACACTGCCGGTTGGCGTTGTAGAGTTGACCTGGAAGCTGGTTGGGAAGGTTATACATCCTCCCCAAAGGCTCGTCCAGGAGACATTCACCATAACCAGTGCTAAAAAGAAAAAAAAAACAGACAGATATCAACACATTCAACAAGGAGAAATCTAGCGATAGCTTCAGGTGGGTTTCTTCATCCTCAGAAGCCTGGAGGAAGTACTATTGTAAAGCATTTAGTGTTTTATGCATCAACTCTTAAGTCGCTGGGGTATATTTGTAGCAATAGCCAACAATACATTGTATGGGTCAAAATTATCCATTTTTCTTTTATGCCAAAATTCATTAGGATATTAAGTAAAGATCATGTTACAATTTTGTAAATTTCCTACCGTAAATATATCAAAACTTAATTTTTGTTTAGTAATATGCATTGCTAAGAACTTCATTTAGACAACTTTAAAGGCGATTTTCTCAATATTTAGATTTTTTTGCACCCTCAGATTCCAGATTTTCAAATAGTTGTATCTCAGCCAAATATTGTCCTATCCTAACAAACCATACATCAATGGAAAGCTTATTTATTCAGCTTCAGATGATGTATAAATCACAATTTCACAAAAATTGACCCTTATGCTCCAGGGTCACATATTTTGATGAATGTTGGGTTCAATCACCATTGGAACCCACTAATATATATATAGATATACATTTCATCATCAACTCCCAATGGATAATTATGAATGCAGTCTTTCTGATTTCACCTGGCGTCTGAAGGTCAAGTGTAAGATGGAGGCAGCGGTGGGTGGTCTGCTTTGTTACCTGCGAGTAACTGATTGAATGGACCTCAGCCAACACAAAGGCTGCATTTCACCCTAGTAAAGACGGTGCTGTTTAACAATGCTGCGTCTCCAAGAATCAACTCAACGGTGCCAAAACCAACGTTTCAACAACGTCATGACATATACGTCCCACCACACCCTTCCTTTGAAACGCATAAAGGAGCTACAAAAGAGCAGGGCACCACATTGGAGCTCATTGAATTGTTGGGCTTAACGTCTCTGAATGGCTCTTTCAGCCAGAGAGAGAACAAAATAAACCTCCTTTCTCCATTCGCCAGCTCAGCTTTCTGCAAGGGAGAACGGAAATCGGGGCTCAGAATAGCCATGTGATGTAATTACGTGAGATGTTGATGTTGCTGGTTCAATTTGTCCTTGGCTTTGAGACTAAACACCTGCGTCAGCTGATTTAGTCCTCTCATTACCTCGCTCACCCTTCACTCCCACTCCACACACCCTACAAGACACCTTTGTCTTTACGAGGGGGAAAATGGACACTACTCGAGGTGCATGCGTCCTTCTGCGGGACTCATTTATCCATCAGAGTAACGATGACAGCGCAGTATGCTCTCGTCTCTCCGCACCTCGCCATCAGCTCGTGAGAGTTTGAGTTATGAGTTCATCAAATCGGCAAGACTGAGGTTGACAGAAACCCTTCATGCCAGTGCAAAGCAAAGAGCGATAAGATTACAGTAAACTGAGACCGTCAGATCTCCAAGTATCTCACAGCTACGCTCAAGTGAGTGTGAGCATGTGAATTCAGGCTCTTTCGCATGATTAGAACCGCAAACACTGGACAAGTTGCATCCTAACACTGGAGTTAAAGAGACAGTTCATCCAAAACAGAAAGTTTGTGAACGCTGAAGAAGATATGTGACCCTGGAGCAAAAAAGCAGTCTTAAGTCACTGGGGTATATTTGTAGCAATAGCCAACAATA